ACAGCATTTCGCTGAAATTTAAGACTGAAACAATGAAAGAAAAAGTAGTAGAAGAGAATGAGCAAAAGAAAAAATTTACCAGCATTTCTCTGTTATCCTGAGACTGAAACAGTGAAAGAAAAAGAAAAAGAAAAAGAAGGAGGAGGAGGAGGAGGAGGAGGAAGAGGAAGAAGAAATCACATACCTGGGCTTGAACATGATGAACTTGAGGTTGAAAAGTGCAGAAAATGCGAACCTAGTCGCCTGTTTTTCTCTGCCGCTCGACGATGTTTTAAAAAAAGAGAGCTTTTTAAATTTTTAACGTTGGCAACCTTAATATATATTGTCGCTTCTCGCTTCTGTCGCTTCTCGCTTTTTTGCAGAAGCAAACGCTTTACTCCACCTGCTATGCTTCACATCACTGAAGCGATCGAGTTCCCGCTTCGCTTTGCGCTTTAAGCGCTGAAGCGAGCACTTTTCACAACACTGCTCAGACCACACATCTGTTTAACAAATCTGTTGAGAGAGGCAGTGTTTTGGAAAGCGTTAAGCGCAAAAAAGCGACTAGGCCTCGCTTCACAGATTCGAGAAGCGCGAAGCGAAGCGCGCGCTTTTTTCATGTGAAGCGCAATTTAACACATAAAAAAAAAAAATAGGCATAGATAAATGGCTAAAAACTCATTAAAAATAACATATTAAGCAAATGTTTCAATTCTTGAATCAAGCAACAAATAATAGATACTAAAACTAGATAGTGAATAATCCTCAAAAGTCATAACATACGCCCAAGCTGGATCTCTTTTTTGGCTTGATGCCATTGAATAATCAAATTAAATTTGCTACAATCAACCAAAAAAAAAAAACATAACCGTTAATTCACACGAACCAGAAAACAAAGCATAAAGCAGAAAACATCATAAAGCATAAAACAGAGCACAAAGTAGAACAGAAGAAGAAGAAGTCGTTTAGGGCACAAAATCAGCGCTTAAAAAGTAAAAAAAATTGAAAGAAGAACAGAAGAAGAAAAAGAGCAGAAGAAGAACAGAAGAAGAAGAAGGAGAAGAAGAAGAAAAGAAGAAGTCGTTGAAGAAACTTACCGAGAAGTGGAGACTTCGTCGTCGCTGGAGTTCGCTGGAGAAGAAGTCGTTGAAGACCGTATGTTTATTTGTTAACAGATGGCTTATTTGCCAAATTGTTTTTAAAAAATCCTAGCAGATGCCTTCTTGCTCGCTTAAGCACGCTTTTTTATCGCTTTTCCATCGAGGCGCTTCTCGCTTAAGCGGGAGAAGCGAGCTCTTTTTAAATGTGAGTCGCTTTTGTACCAGAAAAGCGATAGCCCTGCGCCTCGTGTCGCTTCAGCGCTTAAAGCGAGAAGCGAGTGCTTTTAATAACACTGGAGAGAGGCGCATAATAAAATCATACTTTGACTTTGAGAACATGTGATTGAGAGCCAGAAGGCTCTTTATACTTGGTGGAGAAATGGTGATCTTCTAATAGGAGAGATAAACTTAGTGTTGGCCAAAATGACTAAAAATGCGGACAAAGGATTTAAGGTGCGGAATGTCTATGTTTATGGATGAATAGACCCAAAGGCTTCCATTCGACAAAGCCTTTGTTGTCTGGGTTGAGAAAAATAAGGAAAAGGAGTTGTTTCGGAGGAGATGGCCTTAGGGAATGCTCATTTCAAGGAACTAAATCAACTTACCAAACTTAAAAAATTTCCTTGAGACGAAGATCTAGATGCCTATTATTGCTTTAAAAAGGGACAAAATAAATTTTTCTTAAGAAATGAAAAATACTTATAGGAGACGCAATAATTACTTGTTAGACGAATCGTGAATGGTGGCTCTTTTGAGTAACTTGATTAAACAGAAGATCCGCAGATGAAGCTTTGTTCCAAGAAACAGAAGCAAAATCTGATTTATGGTGATTAAGCAGGAAATCAGGATGGTCTTATTGCGAAATCTGCTTCTGTTTCTAGAACCAAATGGTCCTTGTGCTTTGCAAACAAATCATGGATTCAACTTTGATTGCCAGTAAATATCTTGATCTGAGATTTAGGCGAGAGGAAACGTGTAAATCTAAAAAATACAATAATTATAGATGTGTTTGGTAGGACGGAAGTCATTTTCCATAAAAAAGTTTCTTTGAGGATGTCATTTTTTGGTGTTTGGTATGACGGAAGTCATTGTTCAAGGAAAATATTTCTCATCAAAAGGGAGAATATGTCCTTATGAGCAAAAGTCATTCTCCATGCTCCAACTAACATCTATACATTATTATTAACCTTTAGTCCTTAAGAAGTTCATCAAAATACTCCCTAATTTGCCTACATTATTATTAATATTTAGCATTATTTTCGAAGAATATCCGCTCACAATCAAACATTGAAAAACATTATTTAGTTTCTATGGAATACTTTTTTCATTGAAAATAACTTCCACACCCTATGTAAATTGATCTTTCCTGTTATATACAATGAGAGGTGTGTGTTTGAAGATTAATGGATTAATTGGATTAGAATGTGGAAATCTGCATTGGTTCACTATCATTAATAGGGAGCTCCTGGTTTTTTTCCATCATATAGATTGCAACAGGGAGAATCCTCTATATTATAATTGATATGCCAAACATAGCAACGGAAAAAGAATGGGTAGTGGGATTGGGGTTGGCTGATAACTCTTTTTCACATTCTGTGGCAATGAGACATTAATCCTATATAGGAAGAAGAGATTAATATTATAGCGGAAGAAGAAATACAATAGATGTTTCTTAAAAGCTGTTTTATTTGTCTTTGAGGATACACATAGATCTGAACAAGAGCTCCTTATTTCCGGTGAATGTAGGAACTTCCTCAAATGGTCTCTGTTCTAGTGCGTAGACTGGGTCTGTCAAATGGTTATTGAGAAATTTGAGAGAATTACCCACCTGGATAAAGCAAAACCAATTTTAGCCAGATGATTGACAATAATAGTATACTAGATAGCATCCTCACTTATGTTATTCTCTGTGTTCCCTATCTCAGCAAAAGTGAGAGGCAGTTGGATAGAAGAGCAAAACAACTTTCTATCAGATAGCAACTCTGTTTTTTGTTTTGGTTAGAATTCATCTTGTGAAGTGGCTCCATCTTTACAACATACAAAAAGGTAGTTCGACAGTTAAGAATCTCAAAGTGAAATATAAGAGCCTACTCTATGTATAGTTTGGAGATTCAACCGTGAACAAGATCAATTATGGAAAAAGGTAACCAGGGCTAAGCAAGCCCTTGCTGTGCAAACTGATATTATTACCCCAAGGTAGAGGCACATCCAGGAATTAAACTTTATGACTTCAACTTTTAAGGTTCTTAGCATTAAACTAATTGAACTTTTAAAATTTTGGGTTTAGAATTTAATATTTATTGAGGGACAGTTTCATTATTCACCGAGTTTTGAACCATGCCCCACTGATCCTCAAGGATTTCTCGTTTATCAAAAAAATAAAAATAAATTAAAGGAGCTTATGGGAGGACTTTAAAAATCTGGTGAAATCAAAAGCTGGTGATACGAGAAAGATAATATTGTGGTATGACGCTTGGGTAGATGATGTCCCATTGAAGGAAAGCTTTCTTGATAATTTTAACTTTGCTACTGCATCTGAGTGATGTACTTTCAAGGTTTTGCAACTCTCAAGTACAAAGAAAAGAGAAAAACAAAAGCACCCCACAAATGTTTTTCACAAAACTAGCGAAACCGTTCTTCAAACTTACTTTAGAAGAATGTAAGATGAAAAGAAACCTCACTCACACGTAATAAAAGAGTCAATCACGTTTTTGAAGCTAATGCTCAAAGAAACTAATCACCAAATGTTTATTTTCAGCATATTGAGCCCTTTAAATAGGCCTTACAATTAGGAAAACTGATAAGGTTAAGGAAAACTAATCCTAATTAAACTAGAATAAGAATAAAGTTAAGAAAATCTATCCCAACTAAAATAGGAAAAAGAATTCTAGTAAGAATGGGATACCAACTAACAATCCTAGTTTGAATACAACTACAAATATAATCCTACTAAAACAAGAATTAAATTATTGGGAAATAAGAAATCCTAATCTTTAAGGAAAAGAAATCCTAATGTTGAATGGATTCTTGGCTCCTTGAATTTCTTGGCCTTCTTGATCTTGCATCATTCTCCCCCTAGTTGAAAAAGACTCGTCCTCGAGTCAAACAGCGTTCACTAGGTGTGTGCAGGGAGCTTACATTGGATATTTACTAGGGCAACCCCAGAGTGTAGTTCTAGCTGGGGCGAAGTAGTTGTTGCACCAAACATTGTCCCATGAATGTTGGCTTGATGTAACCGTAGGCATTAATTTCTGGCTCGGTAGTCTAACTTGGTTAAATGGCCTGTTGAATATTCCACGACAAATTAAGAAAGAAAGATTTTTTTTTTTGATAGAGAAGAAAGTTTTGATCTTATTTGGCAGAAGATCAATACGATTGTTGATTCATTTTCTTTCTTGTCATTTAGAAGTGTTCATTTTAGATTCTAATGATAATTTCGACTGGACTTTTAGTGGCTAAATAAAGCTTCTGGATGTTATATGCTTACTGATTGGCTATCAGCCCCTTAAATTTTATTATTGGAAGTCCACCAACCAAAGATGAGATATAGTCGGAAGCTTAATCTGATGCAAGGAAAACAGTTGAATAGGTTTCATATGGTACATAGATTGTAGCAACTCATAGAGCATAGGATTATTCATCCTACAAGTTAATCGTATAGAGTTGGATTTCTGTCCTTGTCTGGTTAATATCCAGAAGCTCATTTGCAATTTTCTTTTGAAACATTATAGAGTAGGTATGTATGACGATAAGCATGTATAGATGAGGCACTTATCAAGAAAAGTATGTATAAGTGATCGCAGTACCAGTCTAGCTTTTTTATGCGAGTTATATGAATCGTGCTGTGCATGTCTAGGATACCAGTTCTGGTGACATTACGATATCTTCTGTGAATTTTGATGTCATTGTTCATGTAACCAGATTGCCTGTGCGCTGGGACAAGACCGTGATCGTTGTGATGAATGAGGTGCGTGTTAACAGTCCATATCGTCCTGAATCTGTTACTGGAGGCACTCCGGCTGCCAATGAAAGAGTGCGGAAAGTGGTAAGATACTTGTTTACTCTCGGATCAAAGAAAATATACTAAAGACTAATCCTATTTTTGTGGTTAGTTGATTTAATTCATTCTGGTTTTTCCATTCAGCTTGTATTGGAGAGGAAGAGGTTGCAAACCCGCAATACTGGACAGTGAGAATTCTTACTGTGTTCTTTTTCTTTGGTCCGAGGTGTTCTTTGCATCATTGGCCTGCTGAGTAAACATATACCAGAGCGTTGGCAAAAATGTGCATCCTACTCGAGTGAAGATGTATCCGTGTCTCTCCATCTGTAAAAGGTTTGAAAAAAATAGTGACTGGAGTTGCTCTCTCCCCCACCCCTGTCCCCCAAAGAAAATACAGCAAATTTTTCTTCATTTGCTTGTCTCAGTGAGGTAAATTTCAATTTGTCATATTATGTTTATGAGGAATCAAAGGTTGAGCTTGAAGGATTTTGTTTACTGATTTTCTTTCTCCTTTACCTGGAGGGTAAAAAGAAGTTGCCAGTTTGCAAAGAAACGGTGTTCTGTTATATTATATAAATGAAAGAGGAACAACGCAGATTGCATTTTCTAGAGGCAATATTTTCTTTTTAACTTTTTTTTAAGTGAGACGGTTTTCAGGCCAGCTTGCTCGATTATTCCACCGTGTACCTTGTTACCTTTCACTAGCACAAATGTCGAGTACCTCTTCCCACCAAGGCTTAGGCAGACCGCGTGAAACACTTAGTTTTTTTACTTACGTTGGAATTGAAATTTAAGACCTCATGGTTCTCCTTTCTATTGTCAACACTCTTGAGTTAGTTTTTTTACTTACGTTGGAATTGAAATTTAAGACCTCATGGTTCTCCTTTCTATTGTCAACACTCTTGAGTGCATTTTCTAGAGGCATGAATATGCCATGCTGGTTTTCAGTCGTATTGAGAAGCTTAGAATTGATTATGAAAAGCCCTTCTCATTTTCCATGTACTGATAACACAGTTTGACACTAGTAAGAGGTTCGATGCAATGAAAATTTTATACACAATCCGTACAGGCAAGCCCTACCAATCTTAAGCAAATTTCGGCAAAGTTTTTCCCGAGAAGGGGGCCTTGGCGTAACTGGTAAAAGTTGCTACCATGTGGCCAGAAGGTTATGGATCCGAGCCATGAAAACGGCATCTTGCAAAAATGCAGGGTAAGATTGCGTACAATAGACCCTTGTTGTCCGTTCCTTCCCCGAACCCTGCACATAGCGAAAACTTAGTACACCATACTGCTCTTTTTCCTCTAAAAATTGAATGGTTCTGTAGTCCTGTCATGTTTCAAGCAATGCCTAAATATTTCAACCATAACTTTCAACACTTCATGATAAGGTTATTCAGCACATCCACATTCACACAACAAATTTTAAAGTGGAGATGAGGATCATGCAAGCTCAGTGAGTCGTATGGCTCAATTGAGTCAAACTTTATAATTTTTTTTTTAACCTTGACTAAAATTTCCAGATGCATAATAAATACTCATGGGTAAGCATGTACATAGATCATAATCAATGAAACAACACTTTCCACACCGTAGCATAATAAATAATCATATCTGCACTGCACTATGAGTTAATATCCTTCCACATTGGTCTGAACCTACCCTTATCAATTACTGACTATTTTAAGATAAAATCCAGATAAACCGTACCCGCACTGCGAGCACACATGACATCGACAGAGGTCTGACACCTACTATGTCAGTCCACTGGCGGGGTCACCTTGTCAAAATTGACACCCCTTCGTCGAATATAATTAGTATTTACTTTTTTTATATTTTAACTTCCTTTAATAAAAATTCTAGCTCCGCCAATACATCACACACCATCCATGTCAATTAGAATAGAAGCATTGCGAGCCTAGCGCAAGGCTAGTGAAATATTCCCATAGCTAATAAGGGTAATCCAAATCCGATGGTACCTACTAGGGGTGTACAAAGGAAACCGACAAACTGCACCAAACTGTTAATCCGAGTCAAACCGAGAAAAAAAAACCCAACTATGGTTTGGTTTGATTTAGATTGGTGTTAGAAAAAATACCCGACCATAATTGATTTGTTTTGGTTTTAACTAAAAAAAGTCAACCGAAACCAAACCAACCCGACATTACATGTATACAAGTTTTAAAAATATTTTATACATAAAAATAATTATTGTAATGTAATTTATAAATATAATTTAAACTGTTTAATAGTTCTCTCTTTTGATGTATTATTTCAAGCTTGAACTTAGAACTTTTGAATGGTCAAATATATTTTATTGCCCATAAAAGTTAGTAACTCAAATAAAGCCCAAAGCAAAATCAACTTAATACTAATGCTAACAAAAAAAATTCAATTCAATACTAGAAACGACAATAGTGTTGGATATTTATTTTTTTAGTTTTGCGTTGATTTAGATAGTGAAAATGCATAACTCTTTTAATATTAGTTAGTCATGTAATTAATACTTTGTACTTTTTAGATTATTTTTATTTTTATCTTATGCAATTTGTTGAGTATTTTTGTATAATCATGACTCATCTCCTATTATTTTTTATTATTTTGTTGGGTAACATCTTATATAGTTTTATCCTACTAGGACCTAAGAAATACTAGACTACAAATTATAAATTTTATGATATGAAGATTCTGTCGGAAAAAAATCTGAAAAACCCAAATATTCTGAGAAAACCGAAAAACTCGAGAAAAATCGTGATTGAAAACCCCGACTTTTGTTGGTTTGGTTTGGATTATAAATTTAAAACTCCGTGACAATTGATTTGGTTTGGTAATTGAAAAATTCGAACCAACCCGGCCTATGTACACCCCTAGTACCTACCATCTCCAATCAAGGGGAGAAATTCAAAAATAGCCACAGTTCCAAAAGTAATCGAAATTTTGCCACTTTTCATGTAAAGATAAATCTGAACGAAAACACTATTCAAAATATACTGGAGTTCCGGCATAAGTATACTAGAACTCCAGTATATTATACTGGAGTTCTAGTAGTGCTCCAATCTCCAGTATATTATGCTGAAACTTTCCGCGTGTTGGAGTTCCAGCATAATATGCTGGAAGTTCATACACAGGTGCACCGATCTCTAGTATATTATGCTGGAACTTTCCGTGTTGCATTAAAATAGTGGCTATTTTACAATAACTTTGCAAACGTTGTCTATTTTTGAATGACCAGTTCGATAACTGGCTAGCTCGTGTTATTTTTACCCAATCAAGACCTCTTCCAATTCACACACTAATCCTAGTCCATATATCAATACCATCACATAATTAATTGTTAATTTTTTATACCAATATAAAGCGATAGCCATATCAATTTTAGAACTACAAATTTTCATAATTCATTAATGATATTTCACATCAAGATTTTTCAAGTAAAAATTGCACGGGGCTCCCTATTTGGTCTCCCCCATTTAACCTATACCTATTTTTCTTAAATAATTTTAACTTGTACCCACTTTTTAAACAACTTCAGCCCCCTTTCTCCTCCTCCTTCTCCTCCTCAAAGTTTTATCTTTTCTTTTTCCAGAAGTAAGGTTCATCCCTATCCGCTTCTTCTTATTTCTCTGGCGAGTCCTATAAATTTTCAATCATTTTTTCCTTTTCGCCGACACCCTCAGCATTAAAGGTTCTATCTTGGTTTTGCAACTTGAATCTTATGCACAATTTTGATGTGAAAATGTGACAAGAGAAATTATTTATTTTTATATTGTTGTTTGGTGAATTGGGTCTGGCGAAAATTGGAGATTTCAGTTGTCGATTGGATTGGTAATGTGTTGATGTTTCTTGGTTCCTGTTAATGTTGCTTAAGTTACTTCGTGTGGGTACAACATGCCCCCTAGAGCTCTAGAGCTGAAGTTCGACAGTTACAAAACAAAATCTTCGCCAGTTACAAAAATAAAAACTTCAGCTCTAGAGCTGAAGTTTGCTAGTTACAAAACAAAAACTTCAGCTCTAGAGCTGAAGTTCGCCAGTTAAAAAAACAAAAATTTCAGCTCTAGAGCTGAAGTTCGCCAGTTACAAAAACAAAAACTTCAACAAATAGAGAACAAAACTTCAGCTACTATGCTTAAGTTCAGCAATTACAAACAAAAACTTCAGCACACTTGGTTCAACACTGCTACTTCAATCCCGTCTACTAGAATGTTGAAGTTTTGCGTGATTGCCTTGCTACTTCAGCCCCGTATGCTGAAGTTACGCGAAAAAATGGGTACGCTTGCAATTTTTTTTTGCAAAGTGGGCACAAGTAAACACGTGACCCAAAAAGCGGATATAGATGTAAATCCCCCATTTTTCAAATTGCTTGTCCCTTGATGCATAGTTTCTTAAGACATGGATAAACTGTATGTTCCAGAGTTTTTTTTGAATCAAATAGGATCATATTCCTTTTATATTACTCGACTGAACTAGATATTGTTTTTTTGCCAGACAATAAATTACAAATATATTAACTCTAATAATAGGAATATCAAAGTCCACAGAGTAAAGTTACTCAACAACTATGCAACAATCAATTGATAGCTTCAGTAGATTAATCTTTTTATCTTTTCAAACTGAAGTGACTATGTCATTTAGTAAAGAATAACTCTATCTGTCAATTATTAATTACTTTTTTGTCATTACTGTAGCTGAAAAACTTATGCTACATACACTGAAGGTCGGTATAATTAAGTTCAACTCAATTCATGTACAAATATTTGTTGCAGCCGATTTTTCTGGATCATGCTGGCGTAACTTATAAACTAGAATTTTCCCATCCAAGAAGATGTCATTGCGTACGTAGATGATATGAACGTTAAGAGCAACAGCCAAGAAATTGCATCGTAATTTATTTGGACTCATATACCATACTGCAAAATGCCGCTCCACGTTGACGAGGGGTTAATTGAAACAAATACGAGGTTCATTTCATTTCTAGATCATGACAGTTTCAGTTGTAATTAAATCCCCACAATAAAGTGTAGATGATACTAATTAAATTGGAAAGGATGAAACATAATATTGTATCTAGAAATTAGCTTGAGAATATCTGAATTGATAAGTCACAGAAAATACGCTAATTCAGTTAATTTACTAATTTTAACTATTCACAAGATTTTGAGATGAGAATTGGCCTAAATGCAATGAAGCATGCTTCAACAGGCGATTCAGAGATTGGATAGTCCACTTTGATCTAAGTCCTTGGCTCATCCTTATATGTTTTAACAAATATTGTATTTTAATTCTCTTGTCAAGTTTTCTTGGAAAAGAAGAACTAGGAGAAATATTATACTATTGAACAGAAATAAAAACTATCTAATATATTGGAATGCGTCTTGCCCAAGTTACTGTATAGGAACACTGTCATTCTTTCTTAATGATCAACCGATTATTTAATTTGTGAATATATAATTCACTCATTTTGTTATCGACTAATTTTTACGTAGTTTATTACCAGAGTTTTAATAGAAAAAGTTAATTGCTGTCAGCCAGTCACTTTTCAATTCCTGAGGGTCAAATTAATTATATTTGAATAATAGTTGTCACTAGCAACAATAGTTGTACATCCAAAAAGT